AGTTCCAGTTCATCCTTGAGGGTTCCAGCTTGTGTTCATGGATTCCAATTAGTCCTTTCTTTTCCCCACTTTACGAGTACAGTAAAACCTCGGATTGCGAGTAACTTGGTTTGCAAGTGTTCCGCAAGACGAGCAAACATTTCTACGAGTAATGGCAAAAACCACCATTACTTTTGCACCAACCTAATAATACATTTTAACTTGGTAAATGAACAATGTCTTGCAATACAAGTAGTTTGTTTCTGGAACTAATTATGCTCGCAAACTGAGGTATTACTGTGTATCCATCTTCCCTTCCCAGCTACCTGACCTGTGGACGTCAAGCTCCAGCGTCAGATGCAAAACCAGCCCTACAGGACCTATTTAACAGTTACCCAAAGTCAAATCCTTTCTGCTTCTCTGATTGAACCCTAACTAATACAACAGCATAGGTATATGTTTAATTTTACATGAAACTGCCAAACTGTTTTCTGAGATGGTTATACTCACTCACACTCCCATCAGCAGAGTATGAGAGTTCCAGTTGCTTCACATCCTCATCAATATAAAAATTAGCAACTAATTTTGTAAAACCATGACACTAAACCAAAGCAGGGCAACAGGCTACCAATCTTCAGTCTCTGTTCTGAACCATGCCCTTGTAGAGCACAATTTCACAATATCTATCAAGATTAAAGATGCATGTATTCTTTGACCTAACAACCCCAGTTCTGGAATTTATCATGTAGATATACTTGTACACAATACTAAATTATGAATATATGAGATTATTCATTTTATTACTATTAATAACAAAGGACTAGAAACAAATCAAATGTCCATAAATAGAGCACTGATTAAGTAAATTTGGTACAGACAATAGAATTTTATACAGCTTTAAAAGCAGAGAAAGTTTTCAATATACTGATATGGAAAAATCTTGTGTGTTTTTTTTTTAACTTTATTGGGGAACAGTATGTTTTTCCCAGGACCCATCAGCTCCAAGTCAAGTTGTTGTCCTTCAGTCTTAGTTGTGGAGGGCACAGCTCAGCTCCAGTCTCCGTTTTCAATCGAACCAGCAACCTTGTTGTTAAGAGCATGCGCTCTAACCAACTGAGCCATCCGGCTGCCCACTGGCAGCTCAGCGGTAGCGCAGCTCAAGTCGTTGTCTTCAATCTAGTTGCGGAGGGCGCAGCTCACTGGCCCATGTGGGAATTGAACCAGCAACCCTGTTGCTCAGAGCATGCGCTGTAACCAACTGAGCCACCCGGCTGCCAGGAAAAATCCTGCATTAGTCAAGGTTCTCCAGAGAAACAGAACCAATGGGAGATAGAGATATTTACTCTAAGGAATTAGCTCACAACATCACAGAGGCTAGCAAGTTGCAAGATCTGTAGGGTGAGTCAGCAAGCTGGAGACTCAGGAGACTGGATAATTTAGTTCTAATCCAAAGGCTGGCGGGCTCAAGACCCAGGAAGAATCAATGTTTCAGTTAGAGTCCAAAGGCAGAAAAAAAAAGCCAATGTCCCAGTTCAAAGGCTATCAGACAAGAGGAATTTTCTCTTACTCTGGGAAGAGGCAGCTTTTTTATTCTATTCAGCCTTTCAACTGATTGGAAGAGGCCCACCCATATGAGGGAGAACAATCTGCTTTACTTAGTCTACCCATTTAAATGTTACTCTCATCCCAAAACACCCTCGCAGAAACACTCAGAATAATGTTTGACCAAATATGTGGGCACCCTGTGGCCCAGTCAAGTTGGCATATAACATTAACCATCACATATCTACAAGAAATCTTGTTACGTGGAAAATCAAGATATAGGACAGAGTGGGTAGTCTGCTTCCCCTTTATGTTAAAAAATTAAGGGTAAGGGTCGGCCGGTTAGCTCAGTTGGTTAGAGCACAGTGCTCATAACACCAAGGTTGCCAGTTCAATCCCCGCATGGGCCACGGAGCTGCACCCTCCACAATCAGATTGAAGGCAATTATTTGACTTGGAGCTGATGGGTCCTGGAAAAACACACTGTTCCCCAATAAAAATTTTTTTAAAAGTGGGGGTAAGATAACAATAAATGTGCATATTTGCTTGTATTCATATAATACACTCTAGATGAATACACAGAAACTAAAGAAGAAGATTACCTACTGGAGATGTGTGAGGACCAAACAAGGTTTTCACTTTTTATATGTTTTTAAAAATTATTTGTGTTTTATCTATTCAAAACATTAAGTAACAAAAAAATTTAAATACCTTTTTATATGCCTTCTCCCCTTCTAGGATTGTGAACATTGGGGGAGACAAATCATGTTGTATACTCATCTTTGTGTTCCTGGCATTTAGTACATAGTAGATATTCAATAAACATTTGAGGAATGAATGAATGAATCAGAAGAAATCCGATTTATTGTGGGTCAGTGAGGGGAGAGGAGAGTGAGAGGCAGAGTGGAAGAAATATGGCAGTAGATGTCAGAAGGGAAGTTTGGAGAACAAGAGAGTTGGTTAAAGAAGAGCTATAGAATTATAATGTGCGATATAACCCACCTCCATACGTAGTCCCAGGAAACATTCAATAAAATTCTCCACTGCTTTGGAGGTTTGATCTGTAGGGTTTTGAGATATGATTGTGGGTTGAGACAGACTCAGGCATATCTGGATACTAGGAATGGGGGGAGGGAATTCAAGGAGGAGGAACCTCCAGGACCTAGCCCAAGGCCCTACTATCAAACAAGACAGTAGACCCTTAAGGGGGTGACCCCAGTCACTGAAACTGCATTCTGCCCTCACTGTGCTTCTGTCAGGCAGAGTCAGGCCCTACCACACCTCTTGGTCCTCAAGCCCCTCCACAAACCATTCCTACCAGCTCCACACACAAGAGTGTACAATTGTGTGTGGTCCATGGATGAAAGGTTCAGAGAACAGAACTCTGGAGACCCAATACAGACTATTGAGAAAAAACAGTGCTAGAGATGGGGTCAATATGTGTGCGAGGCTGGTGATTAATTTGGGAAGGCAGAGGGCAGGCTGAAGCCAGTGTTATCCTAAGACCAGGCTAAGTGCAAAGGAGGTCAGGCCGAGATCAGGGGTAGTCATCAATTTTTATTTTTATTTTATTTTAGGAACTCAGGTAAATAGAATTGGACTCCATGTAATCTTTGGCTCATGACACTATCTCCCTACTTGTCCATAAATAGCCCTTATTAATGCCTGTAAACCTACTACTTGCCCCAAGAATGAAAACATGACAAATAACTTATATCTACTGATGTGCTTCTTGCCTCTGGCCCCTGCTTTCTCTCAGAAGTAACCGCTATCCTAGATTTTATCCTTTGTTGCTTTTTCCTCCTTGTAGCCAACTTCTAAAATGGCTCCCAATGATCTCTGCCTTCTGATATTCACACCCATGTGTTCCTCTCTCCTTGAATGTGGGCTGGATCGAGTCACCTACTTCTCATAAACAGAACGACAAATGTGATGGACGTCACTTCTGTGATTACATTAGATAAGATTATAATTTCCATCTTGCTAGCAGGCTCTGTTAACTCTTTCCCTTGCTGGCTTTGAAGTAAGCTGACATCCTGGAGATGGTCACATAGCAAGGAAGTGAGGGCAGCCACCAGCCAACAACCAGCAAGAAACGGAAGCCCTCAATCCAACAGTCCACAAGAAACAACTCTCTCAACAACTTCCAGAAGTCCCTCCCCAGTCGAGCCTTCAGACAAGCCCATAGCTCTGGCCAACACTTTGATTGCAGCCTTATGAGAAAACCTGAAGCAGAGGATCCAGCTAAGCCATACCTGACTTTGAGCCACAGAAAATATGAGGTAGTAAATATGTGCTGTTTTATGCCACTAAGTTTGTGGTAATTTGTTATACAATAGTAGATAATGAATACATATTCTTTTGTTATTATAAAACATGTTGCTGTGAACATTGCTATACATGTGTCCCAGAACACAGAACACAGAGATTGAGTTTCCTCTGGGTATATGCTGAGTATATGCCTAGGAACAGAATTGTGGGGGCTCAGGATTTACAAATGTTCAATATTGCTGGCAGTCCATAAATGATCAGAGTTAGGGTCACACCATGGCCATAGTGTCTTGGTCAGGGTTGGGAGTCAAACCTGTCTTCAGTCCATATTAGGATCAGTCTGTGAGCAGGGTTTGGAGTCATACAGAGGATACATTTAGGGGTCAGTCCATGGGCAGGGCTGAGGGTGAGTCTGTGGCTACATTCGGGAAAAAACTGAAGCCTGGGTTTCGACAGAGTTGGAGGACATTGTGAGGGTGGGTTTGGGGGTCAGTCTAAGTAAGGCCAGAGTTTGAAGTCAGACTGTCCTAGTGCACAAGACCTGACCCCTGTGATATCATCAACCTACCAAGCAATGGCCACTCAGGGCCCAACTGCCTACGTGGTTAAGACCCACTCTGTACCCAAAAGGCTCTTTCACTCAAGGGGTGGAGATGGGGGACAAGACCTTACTGCCCACAAGGATCCAGGCAGAGAGAGAAGGCAGATGCAGAAAAGAAAGCACAATACCTTTAATTGGGGGCGGGAATGGGGGAGGGGCAGCCCTGTCCCATATACCCCAAACATACTCAGTTGTACCTCATGGGAGGGGAGGGCTATTGGTCTAGGTATAGGCACAGCCAATGTCTTCCCCACTCCTGGATGAGCCCCCTCCTCACCCCTTCCTCTCCAGCGGCTGTGCTCCCCAGCCTCCAGATGGGTCCCAGGTGAGCTCGCAGGAAGGGCAAGTGGCTCCCTCAGCTGCCTGAGGCAGCTTCCCCCATGGCCCAGAGCGCGTAGAACTAGCCTGGATGGAGACACTGCTGTCCTCACAGCTAGGCGGGTACCTGATTCTAGCGTTGCAAACTGAGCCAGGGGACCGCCCCGCAAAGCCCAGCACAGGGAGCGCCAAGGCAGAGCCCCTGGTGTCGGTGTCGGGAACTGCTTGGGGGCGCATGCCAGGTTTCTGCATGTGGCTTCTGGGTTCTGGAAAGCGGTTCATTCTCCTGACCCGGATGGAGTATAAGGAGGTGGCTCAGTCCTGGGGCTCCGCTTGGAGGGCTCCACGCCCACCCCCACCCCAAAAGCAGGGGCGCGCTCACGCCCCAGGAGGCTCTTTGGAGCTGCTGGCTCCGCCAGCCGGTTGGTGGGTCCGTTCGTCCGTCCGTCGGTGGGTGCGTCGGTCGCGGTGTGGGTTCTCGAGGGTACTGGGGCGTCCCAGCGCGGCCGAGCCGCCGCTCACCGCTGCTTACGCTCCGCCTGCTGGAGCCGCCGGGAGAGGTCTTCGATGCGCACGTTCTTGAGCTGGAGCAGGTGTTCCAAGCGCCTCACCTTCATTTGTAGGACCTGGGCCCCGCAGCGAAGAGGTCGAGCCCAGCTGCCCGCTCCCCTCTGTCCCCACCTCTGTAGGTCCCAATTTCCCGCACCTTCCCAGCGTGCCCTCACCTGCACAGTCTCCTGTGAGGCCAACAGCTCCTGCTCCTTTTCAGCAATCTGGAGGACGAAGCTTGGGTCGCCATGAAGCACCTGGCTATACGCCGGAGGCCGGGGCGCTGGCAGCCGGCCTCCTCTGGAGTAGAAAGCAGCTTAGCGGAGGTCTGGACTTTGGGCCCCACCCTCACCTTTCCAGTGCTCCTGAGCCAGATCTTCCCTCCTCCCGTTCCTCCGTTCCTGCCTTCCCTAACTTCCCGAGAGCACCCCAGCCATGTGTAGGAAGATCAGCTAGCCTGGTGATGTCAGGAACTCCCAGCTTCCTTACCTGAGCTGCCCCTCTCCCTGAGGGTCTGGGTCACCTTCCCCTCGGGTCTTCTGGGACAAACCTGAGAAGAGATAAGTGGGGGAGTAACGGTTCTGGCGTCCTATTTTCCTGTCTCCCCTCCCCCCCAAGGGAAACGAGGAAAGCTCTTTCTGGAAGGGAGGAAAAGTAAAAGTCACCTTACCCACATCCATGTAGCCAGTGCCATCCTGCGGAGCCAGTTCCTGAAAGAACCCGCCCTCCCCCCAAGGTCCACTGTGAGTTCAGGCTGGCCCATCCCCAAGGAACCCCATGTCCCTTCCGCAGTCACCCACGCCAGGCTCCCTTGCGCCAGTCACCCTTCTTCCACACTTATCGCCAAGGAGGGGCTTTCCGCAGCCTGGGAAGCTCCCCCAAAGCAGGGGGAGGAGAAGCCTCAGTGGGGTGGCACCTGTAAGGAGCCTGAGCCCTGCTTCCCGCGCCTCTGCCGCTCCTCCAGACGCTGCCTCAGCGGAATCAGCACCAACTCCACCACACCTGGAACGCACTGCGCGATCTTGCGCATCACGTCCTCCGGTACCGAGAAATTCAGCTTGTTCAGCACCTTCCTGCGGGGTAGACACAGAGATGGCGGACTATGTCCTCAGGGAATGAAGTGAAGAAAGTGGGGGAGGAAGAAGGGAGTGCAGTAATAGCGGTCCTGGGTGCGCAGCCCTGGGGGGAATGGAAGGGCACCACATCTGAGCCCGGTTCTTGGGTGTTCTGAGTTTCTTGTCTCCTCCCCAAAAGAAGAGTCCTTTGATTTTGTTACCAGACAATTCTGTCTGCATTGTCCCTCCCAACCCTTCCACCAACACAGTCCCAGACTGGGCTTCCGAGACCATAGGAGGTGGAGGGGCTGGCACAGCCCTTCCTGGGAGCCCGGGGTAGGGGCCGGAGATCCCGCTAGTGCGCAGAGATATCCTACTACCTGTTCAGGTGACTCCAGTTGCTGAGCTTCTGTTGGAGAGAGTTGGCAGGGACGTAATTGTGCATCTCCACCATCTTGGGGAAGTAAAACTTGATGACTTCTGCGACAAGAACTGAGGGAGTGGGAGTGGGCGCAGACATGGAAGGAGGGGGGGATGGGAAAGAGAGAAGAAATGGGTGGGATGGGAGAATCAGGGATGGCAGAATGGTGGGGCCAAGTGAAGTGGAGGTGAGGAAAGGGAAAGGATGATAGGGAGGGAGAGATGGGGTGGGAGGGGGGTGTTAAGGACGTGAGATCAGTGATCAGCCAGAGACTAAACCTCCAGCACACTCCAGAGGGGCTGCATCCCTTCCCCATTAGCACAGGGCATATGAAAACTGCCGTCTCTGATCCTGTGGTAGAGAATGAGTCTTCAAGGGAGCATTTCAGGTGCCTAGGGTCCCACCCTCAGCATTCACATGGATACACACACATAATCCAACACCAAAGTCCCAGGAGAGAGTCACAGACTCATACAAGCAGATACATGTGATAAGATCCCCCTACGAATATGCACATAGAACAGAATGTGTAGACACACAGGACACATACATTCCCAGACACACATAGGCACACATATAGCACCACACACACAAACACACAGGAATGCACAAACACATACATTGACACATACCTCCATCACTGGAGTTCCAAGAGACAGTCACCAACACACACACACAAGTACAAAGAGTCACATATACACCAATATACACATACAGAGATACATAGTTCTGTCATTAAAATCCCAGAAGACAGTCTTAGACACACAGACACCTACACAATCACAAAGAAACACATATGCACATAAGAGCCCCCTTACATACATACAGGGCAGAATGTTTCGATACACATATGAACACACAAACGCTCAAACTCCCACAAGGCAAACATATAGAATACAACAATGAGCATGCTCACACAGAGAGATGCACAAATACACAGATAAACATCTTAGTTATTAAAGTCCCAGGAGACAGCCACAGACTCACATACTTGGACACACACACATACACACACAGACACACACACATAAAGTATAGAACATGTAGTCATATATATTGACACACGCATGCCCACATTCCCAGATGCAGAACACACACACACACACACAGACACACACAGACACACACAGACACACACAGACACACACAGACACACACACACACACACACACACACACACCTACAATTCAAGTCCTAGGAGATAGATATCCCCCAACACACACACACACACACACACCCCACACGTACACAAGCATTGAGAGACATGTATGAACACAGACCCCAAAACAGTACATACAGGACAGAACATGTGGACACACAGGCGCACACACACACTGGGGTGCACACCTCCGTCACTGAAGTCCCGGGAGAGATTTCTCTTGGGCCTGGACAGAGGAATGTTGTCCACCCACAGGTACAGCTGGTGCAGCGCCTCCTCGTCCACGCTGCCTGCCATTGGCGCCTTCAGCAAAACCAGGCCGTTCCAGCAGTGCAGCGTCCAGCTCCAACCTCACGACCTCTCAAGCGCCTCCTCCCTCGCCACTGCGAGCGCCTCGACTGGCTTCTGCCTCTCTAAACCCCAGACTCCTGTCCCAGCTGGGAGCAGCCATATTGTTTTCTGAAACCATAGCAACCATCCTTGACTCTGGAGGGGGCAGAGGCTTCTGGGAGTTGTAGTTTTCCCACGTTATCTCTCCTCAGGCCCCAGATTTGAAAAGGCGATTATAGGTGGCCTTGTCTTTCCCGCCTCCGAAAAAGAAATCACCTCTGCACTCACGCCACCTGCTGACCACCCACTGTCCTACTCTGGGACCTGCCAAAGCCAACCAGGTCCCAGAACCTCTGCACCTGCTTCCCCTGGGGCTGGGATCCTTCTGGATCCTTCAATGATCAGTCCCAAGTGAAAGCAGCATCTCAATGTTTGTCAGATTTATCTGGGCATCCATTGTTAATCTGCTGCTTCCCATCTGGACCGTGTGACAGACTGCGTGACAGTGCCTCCTTGCTGGGCCCCTTCTCAAAGCTCTGTGCTCATTGGGCCGTCACCACTCCCGCCTTCCCAGCAGTGTCCTGGTGGGGCATTTAATATGTAACCCTGACTCCCAGGGAGAACACCAGAGCTCAAGGCCAGTGCCTCAGGCAGGTCATTTAACTCCATAACCCTATTACCTCCTTCGTGAAATGAGGGTAGTTCTCAACTACTTGTCCAACAGGGTTATGGGGAGAATGGGAAGGGTATTTACAGAAGACCTGTATTTGTATGCGACTGCTGGACAGGGAGTTGGTTATAGGTATGAGTTGCAAGAGCTCCTGTAGACACTTCCACACCCCTCATCTCCCTCTGAAGAGCTATTCTTCCACATCTTCAGGAGGGTTAGGAAGATGGGTTCTTCTTTAGTGAAGGGGCACAGAGTAGCAGTAAAGGGCCACTTCTAGGGTCAGCCTGGGAAGCAAGCTTGCTTCCACAACAGACTAGTAGTGTGGCTTTGGGCACATTACTGTAATTCCCTGTTTCTCATGGTTTTTACCTACCTTACAGGGGTTTTGTGAGCATCTAAAGTGCTTAGCATATTACCTGGCATGTGGCAAGAGCCCTATTAACATCAGTTGGTGTCAATAATGAGATGATCTCAGTTCCTACAAAAAAGGTGTTCTTCTAGGCAGGAGACAAATAGAAGGGATTTCCCTTGTTGGTATTTGAGGTGAGGGGCTTGGATTGACCAGGGGCACCTTGGGAGAAGGCTACTGCCCCCGCCTACTTACTCCAGAGCAGGCCAGAGGGTAGGCTGGGCTTTCTCATGACTCTCTGGTCTCCTCTCCAGGGCTCAGATGAGGAGAGGGGTGATGGTAAGTGGACTTCCAATTGCTTTCTGCTCTTAGTTTTGAAGGCCTAGAAGGGATCCGTGTGTCCCAGGAGTGCAAAAGGCCAAGTGGGGAACAGTCACTCCACCTTCTTGTTTTAAAGTAATACATAGTGGCTTTGCCTTTCTAGAAGGGACCACACCCAGGGCAGGCAAGAGACAAAAGATAACCTGGATATCCCCCCCTTAACATTCCAGGGTGGAGAGAGGAAGAACTGCAAGGAGGTGTGGGGGGGAGGGAACCATGGGGTGATGTGCCAGCCCTAGTCAAGGTGGGAAAACCGGTTTGGGGCCCCGAGCTGCTTGCCCAGCTCAAGCTCAGGCCCTCCCCTAGCTGGAACCACTGGGGCCTGAGGGCCTCAATGCTGGAGGGCCAGGGAGGCAGGGACTGGCCCTGAAAAGAGAAAGGGTGCAGGATCTGTAAGGGGCCTGTCTTCACCTTTGGACTGGAGGGCACTGCAGAGGGAGTTGCCAATTCATCTTTAGCCTCTTGGGGGTGTAATCTGTCCCCAGCAATATTACCTTTCTCCTGCCACTGTCCCCAAAGATAGCCAATCACTGAAAGGCCTAAAAGGCTCCCTCTTAAGGCACCAAACGTAAACCAAGGGCCCTGTATGCTCCTTGAAACGCCAACCTGGACCACAGGAGCTGCCCTCTAGCCCCATGCCTGCAAGGACCTTCTTTAATAAGACTTGATAGGCCTAGTTCCCAGGTGCCTATAGTTTAATTTGGCCCAACACAGACTCCCTCCTTCCTGTCCCAGCCAACGGATCCCAAACTTCTCACTCCAAAGCACTGCAAAGCCCAGCTTTCTCAAACCCAAGCCCATACCCCTGCCTCCCCAAGCCTAGATAACATTTAGATATGGAGGTGGCCCCTCACCCTACTCAGGGCTTAGGCTGTTGCCACCCTCTTAACATTTGCTTCCATGTCCCACCAGAGCAAGGACCAAAGGGAACCAGGAAAGGACATGTCCCCAAGACAGACACAAGCCCAGACCATGAAGGATGCACCCTTGGCTGTTAAAACATTCACCCCCACAAAAGGGGGGTGAACGGATTTATTGAATTCAGACTGGGAAAGGAGCGGCTGGATGGCTGGACTCTGGGCCCAGCCCCAGGCCCCCTGCCCAAGGTAAACCCCTGCCAGAGAGGGAGGAGAGGCATGGGGCCTGCAGCTGCCCACAAGGGAAACGCCCATTATCACTCCCCTGGAGGGCCTCTTGGGAACCTCCCATCTGGAAAGAAAACCAAGGGCCAAAGTAACATGGACTGGGCCAGAGAAAAGGATTGGAGAGGTGGGAAAGCAGGCAGAGGCAGGCTCAAAAGCCTGTGGTGAGTTAGACTGTGCTTCTCAAGGCGGCCTGGGGGAGGGGATGGGGGGCTGCCAGCCTTGTGGGGGCCTAGGCTGGACCTTCCTCTGAAGCCCTTCCCAGAATGGCTTTGGGGTCCCCCCCACCAAAGACCTGGTGTGGACGGCAGAGGGGAGAGGCACTCTCCGGCCGGGAGCTTCCAGGGCCCATCCCTGGTGGCTGCTATGGCCTAGTCCACTGATGGCACGGTGTGGTAGCACCGGACAGCTCCCCACCTGATCCCCTAAGCCCAGGGGCAAATGGGGAGGAAAGGACTCTGAGAAAGAGGCAATAAGCAGGCAGTGAGGCTGACCCCAGCCCCAGGCCGTATCAAGGTGACTGGGCCTGTCACAGGGCGTGGGGAACATCACTAAAGGATCTGGGGCTCCGCACTCTGGCTCCATCCACAACAGCTGCCCAAAGAGTCCTTTGCCCTGGGTTGGTGCTGCCACATCTGGGTCAAGGGCATGGCTAGGCCCGGTGGCTCAGCTTTGATGTCCAAGACCCCGAACTCCTGCCTGCCTGGCGTGGTTCTTCCTGGTCACATGGACCAGATCATGTTCCAAGTGGAGGATGTGGCTCTGCACACGGTCATCAATAGGGAAGGAGGTCAGGTACCTCTTGACCATAGCGAAGTAAGCCATGGCCTCCCCAAAGCTGGGCACAGGGACCTCATCACCATCTTCATCATCTTCGTCATCTTCATCATCATCGTCGTCATCGTCCTCCTCTTCCTCACTGTCCGACTCAGAGTCCTCCTCACCTTCTAGGAAATGGAGGGTAGGGCACTGGGCCTCCTCCTGCGCACCATAGCCCCCAAAGCTACCACCAGCCTCCACTACCCCCTGGGCCCAGTCCTCTGCCTCTAAGCCCTCAGAGGAGCTCTCCTCCTCTTCCTCCTCCTCCTCTTCGTCACTGTCATCAACATCACCCTCCTCTTCAACCTCCTCTTCCTCCCCTAACTCCTCTCCTTCCCCCTCTTCCTCCTCCTCCTCTCCTTCCTCCTCCTCCTCTGCCTCCTCCTCCTCCCCTTCACCCTCCTCTTCCTCCTCTTCTTCTTCCTCCTCCTCCTCCTCCTCTTCTTCTTCCCCCTCGCTCTTGAGGGCAGTGGTAATGGTGGCATTTGGACCACCCCCAAAGCCGGCCTCACGAAAGCAGGCAGCTATGTCCGAAGGCTCCACTGCCTGCCAGGCCGCAGCTACGAAGTGCAGGGCCTCCATGAGGCCCAGCTGCAGGCCTGAGCGATCCTGGCCCTCTAGCGCAGCCATGGCCTTGAGCAGCATAGCCTGGCGGTAGTGGCCCTTCACCTGTTGGACCACTCCCCGCTCCAGCGGCTGCACAGTGCCCGGTGGGAAGAAAGCCAGCTGCACATGCCGCAGGCCCGAGGTATCTAGGGACTGGGCAGCCAGGCGGCCAGCCAGCAGCAGGACTCGGCGAGATTCTGCAGCCATGCGGGTGTCCAGGGCCTTCAGATACTTGGCCAGGGCTTGGGTGGTGACACCACCCTTCGAGTTGGCGGTGTAGTCGCAGGGCAGGCCGGCTTGGCCTGCACGGGGCTTAGCTGATTTGCCCGCCACGAGCGGGGGCAACTTCTCGCTGCCATCAGCATTGGCGCACAGCAAGACACTCAGGCGCTGGGTGGCCCTGCGCGCCCGTCCATCGCTGCCGCACAGCCCCGCGGCCTGATCGGGCAGAAAGTCGTACCATAGACTGGTCTCAGTGGCGCTGAACACGTCCTGGGAGGCGTAGCCCTCGGCGACCGACGGCGGCTGCTCCTCCCGAGCGCGCCAGCCCGTCGTACTTCCTCCGCTGCCCTCCGAGGGCACCGCAGGTGGGCTGGCGGGCGCTGCTGCGGCCCGGGGAGCAGTGCTGCGCGACCGGGCGCGGGCCACGCCACTGCAGGACACTACTCCGTGACGCCGGCGGAAGCGGTCCAGCCAGCCGTTGGAAGCAGTGAAGTCGTCCATGCCCAGCTCCTCGGCTATCCGCAGCGCCTTCTCCTTGAGAATGATGCCCTTCACTGGCAGGCCAGCAGCGCGGATCTGTTGGAACCAGGCGATGAGCAGCCCCTCGAGCTTGTCATAGGGGGACAGCTTGTTGGTCTTGCGGCAGGTGGAGGCCACACCGTACTTGCGCTCCGACGCCAGGATGGCGCGCTTGTTCTTCAGGATGGTGCTCAGCGTGGACGGCGGGATGTTGAAGCGCCGCGCGATCTCGCCCTTGCGCAGGTCCGGGTTTTCCTCCACCTCCTGGATGATCCGCGACTTTTCCCGGAACGTCAGCTGCCGCCGCTTGGGGCCCATCCCGGCGCGCCCCCCGCCCCGGGGC